ACATGTAGTTTGATCATATTAAGTATATGTTTAATATCTTCATATTGCAATTAAGTTGTTATAGATAATTACTCGGCCCCACAGGGAAGTATTTTTTTTATACTACTTAATTGGAATAAGATATTGAATGGGGTATTAAAGGCTTTGGATACCTTATACCCATAGGTTTGGGATCCTTTGTTCCTTAGTTTTTTAATTCATTAATCTTATTATAAAGAATAATAAATAAATCTTGTACAGTTGATGACCTCTACTCACATGAAGGTTTAGATTTGCTCTATTGACTTTACAGTTATTGATTTAAAGTGTTTATTATATTCTTGGTTATTGTAGTTGTTGCTACCTCTTTATTTAATGAGTCTTCTAACATTCCATCGCTGAGTGGTGGAAATTTTTCGGATTGGAAAGACAAAATTCTCTTGGCATTAGGGTGCATGGACTTGGATTGGCACTTCGCATTGAAGAACTTTCAGTACCCATTGAGTTATGTTCATTGACTGAAAAGAGTGTCTATGAGCAGTGGGAGCGATCTAATTGCCTAAGTCTGATGCTCATCAAGTCACATGTGAGCAAGAGTATCAGAGGTTCTATTCCAGAATGGGATAAAGTGAAGGATTACATGAAAGCCATTGAAAAGCAATTTTTCAGTTCAGATAAAGCCTTGCNAGAATGGGATAAAGTGAAGGATTACATGAAAGCCATTGAAAAGCAAATTTTCAGTTCAGATAAAGCCTTGGCTAGCACCCTGATGAATAAGTTATCAGGCATGAAGCATAACAAATCTAGGAGTGTGCATGAACATATTATGGAAATGAGGGACATTGCAACTCAACTTAAGTCCCTTGAGGTTGAGATCTTTGAGTCATTCCTTGTTCAGTTGATACTTAATTCTCTCCCTGTAGAATTTGGACCATTCAAGATCTCTTATAACACACACAAAGAAAAATGGTTCATCAATGAAATTCTGACTATGTGTGTTCAAGAAGAGGGGAGGTTTAAGCATGAAAATTTGGAGTGCACATCTGATCATTCATAAAGGTGGACAAGGTAAGAAAGGAAAAAGTGTTCTTAAATAGAAGAAAGATGGCAAAGGGTCATTCAAGAAACATGGTCATAAGGATGCTTGCTTCTTTTACAAAAAGAAGGGACACTTCAAGAGAGATTGTCTGAAATATAAGAAGTGGCTTGAGAAGAAAGGTAATCTCATATCCCTTGTGTGTTATGAATCCAATTTAATTGATTCTCATCATAATAGTTGGTGGATTGATTCGGGTACTACAATTCATGTTGCCAATATCATGTAGGGCTTCCTCAGCCTAAGAAAAATAATGGGAAGTGAACATGGTTTCTATTCAGGAAATGGGATGCATTCGCACATCGAAGCTGTTGGAACTTTTAGACTTGTTTTAGAAACTGGCTTTGTTTTGGATCTTGAAAAAAGGAAAGACCATAGCCTAAGCCTAAAGATGTGCCCTAAATCTCTTGAGAAAGAGGAAAGGATGGCTCTCGTGTTCCCTATGCCAATGTTGTAGGTAGCTTAATGTAAGCTATGATGTGTACCCGTCCCAATATTTGCGAAGTGGTAGGCCTAGTTAGTCGTTTTCAGTCAAATCCTGGAATAGCTCATTGGAAGGCAGTCAAAAGAATTCTAAGATATCTCAAGGGAACTTCAGATTATATTTTATACTAACAGTCTCCAGATTTACAGATGGTTGGTTATAGTGATGTTGATTGGGGTGGTGATATAGATGAATGCAAGTCCACATTAGGATATGCTTTCTTACTTAATGGTGGGGCCATTACATGGAGTAGTAAAAAACAATCATGCATATCCATATCCACCATGGAAGTAGCATACGTGGCTTGTTCTGTTGCTGTACAAGAAGTTGTTTGGTTAAGAAGGTTCTTTCAACATCTAGGAGTTGTCACACATATCTTGGGCTCAGTGACGATTCATTGTGATAGCATGGTTGCATTAGCTTATGCTAAGGATCCTAAGTATTATGGAAGAACCAAATACATAGATCTAAGATATCATTACATTAAAGACATGATTTCACAAAAAGAAGTAATCTTGAAACACATACCTACAATACAGATGGTTGCAAACCCCCTAACTAAGACTTCGTAGGTATTGATTATGTGCTAGAGATTGTATGGATCACATAGTCATTTGTATTGACATCTTTTTAGGATATTAATACATAGTTTTAATTGTAATTAAATTTTATATTGCTTGATTACCTTGATATTTGAGAAAGCACACACATTAAGTATGTCAACAGACATGATTGGCTCACTCACACGAGCAATCGCCTTTGGCGCTTGATATGGCGAGCAAAGATGAGATACTCTAGCATATAGTATCACTCTATTTTGTACACAAGAATGAGATCTGACATTTAAGGATCGATAATGTACACAACTTCATGTCCATTATGCCTGTGTTAGTTGATTAGCCAAATGCGAGATCTTAATTTGACGTATTTGGAGGGCGAGCAAATAGAGAACTCGGGTTTGACACTTGTAGAGTGACAAGATTAAGATCTGTACAGTGTCTGAGTATGATATACACTCTCATTAGGATTGAGACATTCCACCCTAGCATGTATTTCATACTACATGTGCTTGGAGACAATTAAGGAGGTGAAGGAATGGATCCCTGCTTCCTTACTAAGTGAGCCCTCCAAGTCATTTTTACATGACCAGGTTATTTTGTTTAACCAAACATTCTATGTACTCTCTGACTTTTGACTATGCCATAAAATTAAATAATTAATGCTCAGCTACTTTGGCATGTTGCTTACGGCCATGAGTGATTCGGCCTTCTGGGACATTACTGGGTAAGCGGTTAATTTTGAACTAAGTGACATAAGGGCAAAAGGAAGACCATTTGGAACATCCCGTGATATATTCACTGTCGACAACTTTGGGCACTAGTTTAGATTGTGACAAAGTGTGAATGTATAGGCGAAAGCTTCGTAGGGTTATGCATGCTCTTATATTATGAGGGGGTTAGAGATGCTTGAACTGGTGTATCTAAATGGGTCTAGAGTACTTGAGACACCATTTTTCTTTTTTTTTCTTTTTTTTTTTGGGGTTGATGTCTCTATGTTGGCTCTATTGAGTTTCCAGTGTAGAGCTCCCAAATTGCAGGTGTGCTCAGCGGTCGCGCGGCCCATTAGCCTGTATGAATTGATGTTGATGTATATAATGGATTGAGAGAGATGACAATGTCGTACCCACCACGTGCGAGTGGGAGATGTTAGATATTGGTTGGCTCATGGACCCGAACCAGAACGCCCCTGGTAGGTCGACCCAAATTACAAAATGCCCAAAGGGGCATGTCTTTTAGAGGTATCCTTTAGCACCAAAATACATGTCTGTTAAATATTAACAGACATGTGCCTATATGATATGTCTCTTAATGACACCTATTGGTTGTCTATATAAACTCAAGGCAATCCAATAGATCAGATATCTTCTAACAAATACTCTAACGTTGAAACTCTCCTACTCTCTCTCCCTACATAACATTTGTAAGGCTTTTGTGCTGTGAAAAATCTGGTGTTAATTCGTCTTACGTAACATCACCATACAGCTCGAGCAATTAAAGAAAAGATGTTGATTTGAATTTTAAAGTACGTAAAACATCCTCAAAAGGTTTTTGGATTAAAGCGAATAAGGTATGTCTTTGATCATACGCTTCCGCAATTTGTTATACAATTCCCAACAACAAAGATATGAAAAACTCCTGTACTGTAACAGAACTGTTAAATGTCAAATTGCTGAATCAAAATAAATAGGCAAAGTTCGATTATTCAAGAACTAAAAAGATGTGTCAAACAAAGTACAATTCCAGACAAAGAGAATGGGGGACAGCAGAATTACAAGTTCAAAGCAGATAGAAGCTCAAGAAATGAAATCAAACCTACAGAAGTCAATCAATTCCTTGACCAAAAACACTAGAGATTCAACCACCACCAACATAGACCCTCATTACTTTAGCTGAAAAACTCACTATCAGAAACATCGAAGGCAAATAAATCAGAATGAACCAAAAAACAATGACAAAGTTGATGCTTAAGACAAATTCTTGGAAGCAGGATAAAATAGGTTTTTCCAATAAAGACCCAACCTTTTCTCGAGTTTGTTCAGATTACCATCTCCCCATACAAATCAAGTAAGAAAATTTCATCGTAACCTCCATAGCAAAGTCTCCAAGTGTTCATCACCGGAGAAAGGCATGAGAATACCCAAATGGTACACATTACACTATTAAACAGTTCAAAAATTACCAAAATCAGCAGGCATTCTTATAAAGAAAAGTGGCAATGACTATGGTCTTGCCCTCTCATCTTTTGCTTTCTTTTTTTTTTTCGTAAATTGATAGTTTGTGCATTTGTTTTTTTTTTTTTGACGTAATTGAAATGGATACGTGAAAAAGCACCATCTGCAACTCAAGATATAAAATATGGAAAGTTATAACCATAGCTGGAAGAGTAAGAGATGGTATCATTCTATTGTTAGTTTATGGATGGATCGAGATACATGAGACTTGCGTTGTTGGGAAGAAAATTTGCGGCTCTCTTCACTTAAAAGTAAGTTATCTGGAACAGCATCGTCCAAAGGTGAAGACATGTTATAGAGACAACAATTATAAGCATTTTTTTCTCTTTGGGGGGGGGCAAGGATGAATCATTGGCGTAGAACCAAGATGAATTTAAGTGGAAATCAACTTAAAGTCTTGCAGTGATGATACGAAAGCAAGTTGATCATAATTGAAATACGCAATTCCTTGCTTCTTGGAGAATCTATCAGCAGCCCATCTAATGTCCATATCATGGCCGCTGAATTCAAATATTGCATTCTTTGCAAAACCATCACAATTCTTATATCAAAGTATGACCTAAGCAAATAAACCTCTAGTTCTTCCAAATGAGTCAGCATCCTACAAAATGCACTTTATACAAGGAAATTTCTATAATTTAGTAATGTGTGTTTTATGGATGAACAACATCTCAATTTGAATTGTATTCATGTTTTACCACCATCTTTAGACAACTGATGTCGCTTTGCAACAAAGATAGCTGCCTCCACCTGGTTAGTGAAACATCTAAGTCAGTTATGTCCAACCTCGGTCATTCCCAAATGCAAATTTTCAAACCCACCACCTTCAATCACTTTACATCAGTGTTAAAACTTCATTTTCTCCTCTACCCAACACTCGCTCCACTTAAGCAAAATATTTAACCTATTCAACTTCTGTGGAACCCTCGTTGTTGGATTTATTAGTTAAATCCTTAGCACAAAACCTCTTCACATTGCCATGTAATTTGTCAAGAATCCTCCATGTTACAGCATCTGGAACCACCCCATTATTTCTCATTTCTCCCAGAATCTGATAAGCTTCTCTCTTCAGACCTAATTTGCAAGCACCATCGATCACAATGTTATAGTTTACAACGTTGGGAGTTACCCCACAATCTACCAATTCATATAGAAAATCAGAAGCCTCATTAAATTTTCCAGAGCGACAGAGCCATTTAAGAATAGCTGCATAGACAAAATTATCATGAACCTTTGAGGTCCAGATAACCTCATCCCAGAGCCTCTTAGCTTCAGGTATTTGGTCAGACTCACATAATCCATCAATTATAATTGTGTACGTAGTACTGTTGGCAACCACACCACCCCTCGCCATGCCATTAAAAACCTCCATAGCATCATCTGCTCGATGTAATCGAAACAAGCCTCGGATAACTGCATTATAAGTCACAACACCAGGACTAAGACCCTTTTTAGGCATTACATTATGCAATAGATCAAAAGCTTCTTCGGTTCTTCCAATCTTCAACAACCCACATATAATAGCAGTGAAGGTCACCACATCAGGCGGACAGAACTTCCCCGCCATCATATCATGAAATACTTTTAAAGACTCTTCAATTCTCCCCATCTTGCAGAAACCATTGATAACTGTGTTGAGGGTAATAACATCAGGCTGGCATTCAGTCTGAAGCATGAAAACAAGTACATTAAGAAGCTCAGTCGAGTTATTCGTAAGAGAAAGGACCCTCAAATATATATTGTAAATTCTAGTTTGATCCACACCTTTCTTATTCAACATGATTTTAAGAACTTCCCTGGCCTTGCAAAGGCNTTGTAAATTCTAGTTTTATCCACACCTTTCTTATTCAACATGATTTTAAGAACTTCTCTGGCCTTGCAAAGGTCGCATTCTCTGCAAAGACCCTCCATCAAAACCTTGTAAGTAAACTCCGAGGGCAAGTACCCGAACTTTTTCCCTTCTTCCAACAATTGATAAGCCCTCATACAATCATCCTCGCTGAGCCCATGGACAATAGAATTATACGCCACTAAGCTCGGCGTACACCCTCTCTTCCTCATCATGTAAACAATCCTTGCAGCCCCATTGTATCTTCCATATCTACAAAATGAATCTATCATTTTCCCGTAAGCAAACTCGTCAAAGACACTCTTCCCTTGAGGCATGTCCTCAGCAATCTTGAAAACCTCATGAAACAATCCTTCTCCACACAAACAGTCAATTAAATTCCCAAAAGCCAAATTGTTCACAGACGGATCATCTTCATCCACCATCACCTCCCAAAGCTGACTTATTAGTNAGCCAAATTGTTCACAGACTGATCATCTTCATCCACCATCACCTCCCAAAGCTTACTTATTAGTTTTTTTCCATGTTCAACGTCGTGTTTTCGAAGAATCCCACGAATGAAAACACTGTATGTAAGTGAATTCTGTCTCACTCCATATTCAGACATTTCATCAAGCAACTTTNTTTCGAAGAATCCCACGAATGAAAACACTGTATGTAAGTGAATTCGGTCTCACTCCATATTCAGACATTTCATCAAGCAACTTCTGAGCAGTACCCACTTCACCAACTTTACAGTACCCATTGATGAGAGTTGTGTATGAAACTGTGTTTGGACTATGTCCCCTAGTTTTCAAATCAAAAAACAACCCGTGAGCTTCATTGAGCTTCGAGAACCAGCACATTTGATCAATCAAACGGTTATAATTCATCAAAGAAGTCACAAACTCGGGCTTTTCTTTGATCAAACAATGAATAACATGCAATGTACCAAATGGGGTTCTTGCATCCAGTAACCGAGCGATGAGTACGTTGCATGTTCGCTCATCGGGTATGCAATTCGAAGTAAGAGAGAGAACAAAACGATTGTGAGCTTCGGAGAAACGGTGGGCGTCGCACAGTGCATGAATTATGCTGCCGATGTTGAGGTAGTCGGGGCGGTAACCGCGAAGACGAAGATGGTCAAGCAGGTTAAGGGCCTGGTCGACGTTGCGGTCGATGACACAGAGCTTGTGGATCTTTTTGGTCCAGTAGCACCTGTTGGCTATGGTCTTATTTTGGTGGTGTTCTTCGAGTGCAGGTTGTGGGCGTTGGTTTGGTTGAGGTGGGTCTGGAAGTGTGAAGAAGAAAGCAAGAGATGGAGTTATAGATTTGCTGTTAATGGAAGGTTTTGGTGGCAGTAATGGAGGGAGAAACATTATGTTACCATGTTTGTTTGAATCGGAATTCTGTTTGGTGCGACTGCAATCTTGAACCATGCGACCAAGTAATGTGAGAACATAGCATCAATCTCCATGGCCGTTGGGCTCTTCACTCCTGGATTCTCCTTTGAACTAAGAAATGAAAATTGGAAGCTCAGTCCAATGTGACTATCTATGTCAGTGTCACCATGGGCGGATTCATAGAATGTATTATCAAAATACCGTTATTTCTAAATAAAAATTATCGCACTTTAAACTTATTTATTGATTTATTAAATTTTTTAAAGTGGAATTGTTGATTCCGCTTTTAACATGATTCCACTTTTAACAAGTGATACAACAAAAAGAGAAAAAAAATATTTTTGTAAGTATTAAAATTATTCTTATTGATTTCTCTACAAAAATACTGAATTATCATACTTTTAAATTTATTTACTGATCTATTACAGCTTTTTAAAGTAGAATTATTGATTCCGTTTTCAAGATAATTTTACTTTTAATAAGTGATACAACAAAAAAAAAGAAAAAAAGCATTTTTGTAAGTATTGAAATTATTCTTGTTGATTTCNCTCTACAAAAATACTGAATTATCGTACTTTTAAATTTATTTGCTGATCTATTATAGCTTTTTAAAATATAACTATTGATTCCGCTTTCAACACAATTTCACTTTTAACAAGTGATACAACAAAAAGAGAAAAAAAGCTTTTTTGTAAGTATTGAAATTATTCTTGTTGATTTCGCTTTCAAAAACTACATTAATTTAGTAAATAAATTTAAAAGTANAATTTCACTTTTAACAAGTGATACAACAAAAAGAGAAAAAAAGCATTTTTGTAAGTATTGAAATTATTCTTGTTGATTTCGCTTTCAAAAACTACATTAATTTAGTAAATAAATTTAAAAGTACAGTAGATCAATATTTTTGTTTTAAAATGATAATATTTTAGTAATAGATTATGAATTCACCCCTGGCCTATCTCAAATTTTTGATAAATTTTTTTGGTAAATTTTAGATAACCTATTTATCTTAAAATACATAGCTTAAATTTTTCAGTCTTTAAGTCATTATTCTCCTAAATATTTGGTGAGTAGGTACACATTTATATTTTTATATTACCTAATTGTCCTTACCTTAATTCATGCATTTTAGGAANGACTATCTATGTCAGTGTCACCATGGGCGGATTCATAGAATGTATTATCAAAATACTGTTATTTCTAAATAAATATTATCGCACTTTAAACTTATTTACTGATTTATTAAATTTGNCTATGTCAGTGTCACCATGGGCGGATTCATAGAATGTATTATCAAAATACTGTTATTTCTAAATAAATATTATCGCACTTTAAACTTATTTACTGATTTATTAAATTTGTTAAAGTGGAATTGTTGATTCCGCTTTTAACATGATTCCACTTTTAACAAGTGATACAACAAAAAGAGGAAAAAAAATATTTTTGTAAGTATTAAAATTATTCTTATTGATTTCTCTAAAATAATATTGAATTATCATACTTTTAAATTTATTTACTGATCTATTATAGCTTTTTAAAGTAGAATTATTGATTCCGCTTTCAAGACAATTTCACTTTTAATAAGTGATACAACAAANAGCTTTTTAAAGTAGAATTATTGATTCCGTTTTCAAGATAATTTTACTTTTAATAAGTGATACAACAAAAAAAAAGAAAAAAAGCATTTTTGTAAGTATTGAAATTATTCTTGTTGATTTCACTTTCAAAAATTACAGTAATTTAGTAAATAAGTTTAAAAGTACAATAGATCAATTTTTTTGTTTTAAAATGATAATATTTTAGTAATAGATTATGAATTCACCCCTGGCCTATCTCAAATTTTTGATAAATATTTTTGGAAAAAATCGCAAGCGATAAATTTTAAATAACTTATTTAGCTTAAATTTTTCAGCCTTTAAGTCATTATTCTCCTAAATATTTGGTGAGCAGATACACATTTATATTTTTATATTACCTAATTGTCCTTACCTTAATTCATGCATATTAGATTTAATCTATTGTCCTTACCTTAATTCATGCATTTTAGGAATAATCTTTGCTTATAGATGTTAGTTCAACAATGTTATAGATGTTAGTTCGTATACTACACACTTCAAAGTGCAATACCTAAAACCACAATAATTGTGCAGTATACGAACTAACATCTATAACATCGTTGAAAATAATAAAACTTCTATTGACAGTGCAGTATACAAAATATATGTTATTTGATACATAATTCAAAGTACAGTACCCATCTATATAAGGATGGGTCCAACATGGACATACCTTAGAGAGGTACCACATTAAAAAAGAAAAAAGAAAGAAAGATGGCATTTGATACACACATCATTAATGCAATTTCGATGGCCAACACTTAACACACTATAGCAAATTTCAATCTCAATGTCCAAAACAAACACTTTTCACCAAAAAAAAACAAAAAAAAAATATGAAAGAAAATGCACAAACATGGACTTGGCAAGTGCTGCTAGCAACTTTTTTGTGTTTTTGAGTTTCCGTCATAGCTGATACATAACAGGGAGCTCAAACATCAGTCATCAGGACACCCACTAGTGCAAAGATTTGTCAACAGTTGTATGAAACGTTCCTTCAAAAAGCCTGTAGCTCACACAAATAGCATCCATGAATTATCAACAATCAACAAAAACTACTTGAAGCAAAAGAGGTGCTAATATCAAGCACAATTTATTATTTATCTATCTTGTGGGTAAGGCGTTCAAGATGGTAAAACATGGGGCAGTTGGAGTATCACATGAGGGACTGTAACGAATCCGTGTATTTGGGGAGCAGTGCATCATAGGTAGATACCCAGGACCTCTTTATTTTAACATAGTGCAAAAAATTCTAAAAAATACAATATTAAAAAAAAATTATTATAAAAATAACAAAAATAATCAAGCGCGTACAGCATGAAATTTACACATATCACAATTTGGCCTTTAGACTCGTTTCGGCGACTTCGCCCATTAAGTGACAATGGGTATCTCAACACATTCTTCACCCTCTTTCTCCTCCACTTTCAATTCTATCATCCTGGTTTCGTAAGTCCAAGACACTTTTGAAAGCCTTACATTTCCTTACTCAAGTGGCAGAAGTATAAAAAGTCCTTCCCTCTATGGGTCAGGATGGCCACGTTCTCTCTTTCAAGGATATCAGTGTACTCCTTCCAAACGTCAACTAGATCTCCAGGCTNTCATATGTCCAAGACACTTTTGAAAGCCTTACATTTCCTTACTCAAGTGGCAGAAGTATAAAAAGTCCTTCCCTCTATAGGTCAGGATGGCCACGTTCTCTCTTTCAAGGATATCAGTGTACTCCTTCCAAACGTCAACTAGATCTCCAGGCCGAGATTAATTTACACATTAACATCACCGAACGAGAAAAAGCTAGAAGAGAAAACACATGGAGAAAAAAATGGATTGACAGTGGATTAAGTGGTTCAAGTGTGTGTTAGTACTGGCCAGAGTGTTGAGAGACTCTCACACCCTTTCACAGTCAATTGAGCATGATTTTCCTTTGCATGACAATAAACCAAAAACATAAATGCAAATAAACATTCACCAGATATGTGAGGAAACAAATATAAGAGTGATTATATTCCTAGCTAATGTCTCTGTCTAAATGGGTGTTTGGATAAATTTTTTTAATTTTTTTTTTAGATAAGTTTGGATAAATTCAAAACTCATAAGAGTTGCAAGAAAAAAAATTTGTTAAATTGAAGCCTGCTGATACATGAGATTAAGATTTAAAAAATAAATGCAAAAAAAGAGAGGAGAATATAAATGTAGAGTATAAATAAAACTGAAGGAAATGTTGGAAGATAATTTGGAAATTTAAGTATAAAAAATTGTAATGGTATTAGGTAATTGAATACAGAAGGACAAAATGGCCTTTATAGTTTGGTATAAAAATAAAAGAGTAAATTAAAAGTTGTTCATCAAATGAAAGGAGTAGAACAAAGTGTCAGCTTCAAGAAACATGGGTATGGAAAATCTTAAGATACTTTTATAAGTAGTATAAGATACAGATGTTAGTTCCTTTACGTCATGGCTTAGTATTTTGAGTGCATATCCTCCAACCACAATTGGTTCATTCGTGTACTGTCCATGAAAATAATTGACTCAATGATAGTAGTTCTGCCAATTGTGGTCGTAGGATTGAGACATAGTGGTCAATGTTGAAAGATCCATCTTTCTAATTAACTACCAATTTGCGTACAAATACATCTAACAGATGGCATGAATTAATACTCACAAAGACATAGCTTTTTCCTAGGAAGAATGACCGCTGCTCATTGTTAACTTGAATAGTCTTGCTGCTATTGAAGTTGGAAACACTAGTCTTACACTTTGGGCAATCATGCAGATGCAGATGTTCCAAGGAAGGGCATTCAATACTAGCATATCCAGGGTAGAAACTTGAGAGGCATGGAAGATTTTTCAGAAACAAGTTCTTCAGTTTTGGGAAAATTATTTTGTCGGCTTCAATATCACTGGTCATTCCAATTATTCCCTCCAATGCAGAGCAATCTTCTAACCAGACGTCTTCTAGTTTCAGGAAACACATTGCCAAAGGCCACTCGAATAGATTTCTCAATTTCTTGCATTTGAACACTGTCAAGATTTGGAGGTTGTGAAAGATTGCAAGGTGAGTAGGGCCATTCCAAATTTTTGTGAGTTGAGGCAGCATCTCCAATTTTAGTTTTTTTATGTTTTGCAAGACAATTTGTCCTTCTTCTAGCCCTTCAGATAGAAATACATCTTCTAATGAATTGGAACTTAAACGTATCACTTCCAGATTTTGTAGTCTTTGCAACAAATTAGATGGCAGCAGTCCATCCACCAAGTCAGTACATTGTTCCACTTCCAATAACTCAGCTTACCCAATGACCCATGTTGTGGTTGGCCAACACATATCTGTTTCAAGTAATCCAAATTGTAGACGCNTGGCAGCAGTCCATCCACCAAGTCAGTACATTGTTCCACTTCCAATAACTCAGCTTATCCAACGAC